CCATATAAAAGCATCACTTAACTCGTTGATTTCTGTGTTTTTTTTTTTTTCTTAGTAAAATTAAAAGGACTGAAGAATACCTCATGTTTACAGAAGCACAGGAATAAAAATGATTAGAATCTACTTACCTTAATTGTTGATCCAGTTTATGCTTTCTTGGTTTCTTTATCTGTTTTGAACATCTTTATCTGATTAAATACTTGACTCCACTGACTTCTATAATATCTATTAGTGTTTTAATGTTTTATGTTAGCTTTTATGATAAAATATGCTTATTATAAAGTGTGAAGAGAAAAAAGCATATGAAAGGTGGGAAGAAAAATTATCCATTTCTGCCCTTTCCCCTTATTTTTCCTCTAAGTCCCCCTGTTTTGTATTTCATAACAGCCTCCTAAAGTTCTGGTATATCTCCTGGAATTTTTCAATATGTAGGTGAGTCTGAGCTTAAAAAGCGGGGTAATATTAATATCTTTTTTCCACATAATAAATCATTTTATTAGATTTTTAGTTTTACAAGGCATTCCTCATTGATACTCTGTTGTTAAGTATAGAACATTCGACCGAATTTTCCAAGGTGGGTATCTGAGTACCTTGCTTGTTCATGAGGCCATACTTCAAACTCAGTAGACTCTCTGTGTTACTATCTAAGGCTAAGTGCAAATGCTACCTAGTCCTTCCATGTCTTCCCTAGACAAAAGATGGTAATAATTACAGGGTCAAAACAAATCTGTTGTCTCTCTGTAAGATTATGCTAACAGCATAAGCTTAAAATAAACCACTTAGGCGAGTAATGTGTCTTCAGGTAGGTCTTCAATCTTGATGGTTTACATCTGGGATCAGTTAGATGCTATGAAGCGAATGGGGTCCTGTAAGGATTTCCTTGTTTAAGAATCTGGTTCTCAGGTTACTCAGTCTCTCAGCCCAATGTTGCTATGTCTTACTTTTCATATTGGTTATGATGTGTATGTTTTACTGCTTCTTTGTATGAAGTCCCAATTATGGGTACTTGAGGTCAACTTTGCTCTTCAGTTAAACCTGAGGACTGTTGGTGAAACAGTGAAACACCTTGGTAGCCCCCTTCTAGAAAGAGGAGCTCAGGTGGCCTCTGGCCTGATTCTCCTTTCCTCCACCTGATGCTTCTATTCTGCAGCCCCAGAGAGGGAATGCTGGGCTGGCGGTAGGTTGCCTGCCTTCCTGGCATCTCTGGCACTGCTGAGGTATGTGACTGGAGGAAGCCATTTTACCACCCAAGTAACTCTCTCATCTATGCTCTGGGAATAGTAATGGTGGTGTACTGTTAGGATTATTCTGAGTTTCAGAGGAACAATTCTGTGGTGCAGCAGGCTTTGTTCCGGGCCCTCAATGCCCAGGAGTCAGACTAATGGTTGAATAGGGAAGACTTTTGCTAGGACTGCCAGTTGCCATTAGGTGGGAGGGACAGCGAGCCTTGGGAATGGGGTAGGACAGGTCATAGCAATCACAGGCTGGCAGGGCAACCTTGCTTCCGGTGTGCGGCTGCGTGTTGGAATCAGAGAGGCTACAGGTCTGTAGTACTTCTGAGGCACACTGAGAAATGTCTGTAAACCCATGATGCTGTCAGAAACAATGCTATGAAATATCCCTTTCTGAAAAACAAATTGAGTTTCCAAACTTGTTTAGCTTTGACTACCTTAGCTATGGCCCAGAAATATTCCTCTGTTACTTGCTCAACCTTGTTCATTGTTTCCGATGATGATGAAGACTTCCATGTTTTTGCTGTCAAGGGGCCATAATTTAGTAACTGTATAGTTTAAAAGATCAGTTTTTTCTGTACCTCCAAAAACAAGTAAAACTGGTAGTTAAATATAAGTCTAAAAATCAAGTGAATAATTGATTATCTATTACTTGCTAATTACTATAAGGACTATAAAGAAAAATGTCTCCTTTTATCTAGTTAATAGACTATTTGAAGAGTCCCATTAATATTAACAAAGGACAAATAAGCTTGTAAAAATTAAGTGTTTAATGCTTCAGTGTAGATGAGAGAAGGCATTATCGAAATTTATTTACTCCTGGCCTGTGAAAAAAAATTTTAATAGCTATTACTATCATCTGTATAATTCTGCATTTACTTTTTCCCCAATTTCATTGAGGTCTAATATGACATTCAAAGTGTAAAGACATTTAAAGTGGTGATTTGATGACACATGTTATAGAATGATTTTCGTTATGGAGTTCATTAACATATCCTTCACCTCACAGATTTTTCTTTTTTGTTGAGGATATTTAAGTCCAACTCTTAGCAAATTCCAATGATATACTAGTCTTATCAACTACAGTCACCATGTTACATTAGTTCCCCAGACCTTATTCTTCTTACAGCTGAAAGTTTGTCCCTTCCCCCTAAACTCTCTTTATTTCCTGAACCTTCCTCGTGGACTTACAATAAAAATTCATTCCACAAATATTTATTAAATCTCACTTCATGCCATCCCTTGGCTAAGTCCTGAGGGACAGAATGGAATCAGGTCTTCTTCTTGTTCTCAGGAACCTTAGAGAGTAGTCCGAGAGCCCAATGGAAACAGATGTTATTGTGAAAGCAGGTGTGGATGTGGTAAAGGGAGGCGTGGCCCATGGCACACAGGGAAGGTGCCCTGGCAGGATTGGTTTTACAAAGAAGTTCTGATTCTCAACAGTGCTTCTCACGCTTGGGTGTATTCAGATCACCAGGAGATTTTGTTAAAATGGAGGTTGTGATTCAGTAGATCTAGCGTAGGGGCTACAGATGAGTGGCAAGGATTCGAAACAACTGTCGCTTTGTATTCACTAGGCAAGATAGGGGATTAGATGGAAAGGAGGCTAGTTCATTCACAAAGATGAACATAAGCAGAAGAGTAGAGTAAAAAGGCCTGGAAAAATAAAAGTAAGGTGTGTATATATGTGTGTGTGAGTGTGTATGTATGTGTAGGGATGAGAGCATGGCAAAGCATAATGGGGAAGAGGTTGATAGGAATCAATCCTAGGACTGTCATTTACAGCTTTAAAATTAAATATTAAAGGGATTAAAAATAAGGTCATCCTATAGATCGGGAATCACAAATTTTAGACTGGGTCATAACCTTTTTTTTTTCCATGTTCAGAAGATCAACGTGAGGGACTTGGAAAGGGTGGAAGGACAGAGCTTTAGGAGTCGAATATAGTTGTTGAGGCAAAATATCAGGGGATGAATGAGGATTTGTAGGATTTGGATTGAGCGGAAGAAGACGTCTTTGAAAAGAAGCAATGTGAGTCATGAATTAGCATAGTACTTCTTGGTGTGAGAGAGGAAACTAGCTTGATCGGAGCAGAACACACGCCAGCGTAAAAGAACAGCCTGTGAAATGAGCAATGGGAAACCTCACCAAAATGAAACTGCAAGGTTGGGCGCGGGGAGCCCTCCTGCCCTACCACCGCTCTGCCGGGAGCGGTGCCAACAAAAAGACTAACTTGCGAGCAGATACTGCGTGATTAACCCAGCAGGCGGAAGGAACTCTTCCTTCTCCCCGCCCCGCCACAACGATCCAGCCAATCAGACGCCGTCACGGCGCAGCCAATGAGAAGCCACTGTCCTTTTCAGCGCCCAGTTTGCTCGGGTGGGCTTTTATTTGTATCAACCTTCCCAGCTTCCCGCTGTCCTCGCCTCTGTTGGACGTATTTGCGTATAACTTTGCCATCGCTTGCTATTATTCTCTGCTATTCCTAAATAAACTCCTCTTTTGGTAGTAAACCTAACCAGAAGTTTGATGTTTACAGTTAACAAGTACAAAGATAAAGCTGGAGATGGGTAGAGCTTTAAAGTGGATGACTTTCAGTGCCAGATCTGAGGAGTTTAACCTCTTTATTCTTAGGAAAATTTTATGAGCAAAATCACTGAACTCCTACAAAGCCTTGAGCCTTGCTTTCCAGAAATATCACTTCACTCACTTAAGGGGCCATTAGGAATATAGGACACCATCGTTTTCATGTAAATTCCTTTTCAGCTCTTCCTATTTTTCAGTGGTGTAATACCCTTAGCACTGAGAGTCTTCATGTTAGATTATATGGGGATGTGGGGAAGGAAGGACAATTCCAATGTTCTGGAAAAGGAAAAATGGATTTATAATTAGCATAAGGGAGGAGGGTATGGAAGTGTTGAAATTCAAACATTCAACAAAGAATTTAAAATGGGAGTGGCATTGGTATTCAAAAAAAGGATAAGGCTGCAAGGGAGAATTTGGGATTCATCCAGATGGGCAAGGGTTAGAGTGAAATAAATGAAGATTCTGCAAGAGAGATGGGTGTGAAGAAAGTTTTAAGGATTGAACTTGGGAAATGCCCGTAATCAGGTAGCAGGAGTGAGCATCGGGATTGTATGATTTCAAATGTGCCAGAGAGCATGAAGCATACATAGTTCATTGCTAAATGGAAACACTTATGCTGCAAGAAAGAGAAGTTTGAGTGAAGCCAATTTAAGTTTGGCAAATTGGAGCCAAGATGAAGAGGAGATTAAAAAAAAAATCCAGCGCCACCTGGTGGTAGGCGTTAGGCATTTTTAAAAATGAATTTTTAAAAATGAATTTAATTGAATTTTTCTTTCTTATTTTGGTTTTTAAATTATCTATTTTTTAATATGGTACCCTAGTGTATGAGTGGACTAGTTTGTTTTTTAATCAACAGTATGAGTGGAAGTCGGAGCTTTGATTTTAACTTTTCCAGAAACCTCTGTGTCACGTGGCTTTTTTGATCTCTTGTCACACAAGACCTGAGCTAATTACTCCAGTTTACACGGTTACAGCTACCCTTCGCATGTCCTGATGGTCTCATCATCGCCTCTGCTCTTCTGCCTCCAAGTCATCAAAAATTTAAAAAACATCTATCTAAAAATTGCATGATGCTGAATATTCAGTTTGTGTTTTGACTCAGTAGTTAGTGCAGGAAATGAAGTTTATAAGCTTAAACCTTTCAAAATGAAGTAGAAACTTTTTTTTTTCTTTAATCCCAAGGAAAACCTACATCCTTGAAAAATGCACAGCCGTCTCGGGTGAATTTGCCTAGACCACTTCCTAAATCCAAAGCATCTTTGAAAAGTTCTGCACTGAGGAGGACGGGAAGCACCTCCTCTCTTACCAGCACCCACAGTGATCTGAGTACTTACAGCAATAATTGTAAGTCGGTCTTCTGTCAAACTTCTGGGATCGTTGCAGCCATAGTTATAAGAGAAGTAATGTGCTCAAATAATTGTTAGAATTTTGATTTTGTGATTTAGGGGAAAATAGGAATGCTGCTTCTCCCATGGACTTTCTCAAAAAGTTTGGCAAGAAAAGCAAATTCTTCAAATGATGTTCTCTTTTGATGAACATGCTGTGAAATACTGAAATATTTATGTGTTGGGGGTACCAAGTATTTTGTTGCATGGAGAATTCTAAAGTGTATCATTTGAAACAATGGTGGGTTTTGGTTTATTTTAGGAAGGGAAGCAGTCTGGGGGCTGTTGGAACCCATCTGGACATCAGAATAGAACTTCGGTGTGATTTGCTTTGTAAAAGACTGTATTTTTTATAATCTTGTATTTGGATGCTAGAGTCAGGGGAATTTGACTAGTATAACTTCAAGCCTAATTTTAAGTAGTTTAAACTCAATATTTCTAAAGTTTTCAGTTAGGATAAATTCTGTTTTCTGTATATAAAATGGGTGAATTCATTAAGCTTTTTCATTCGAAGGTATATTTGGTCCTAATATTTATTTGTTTATTTCTTTTCTAAATTCCCTCACACGATAATGAACAGATTTATTAATTTGAACAGCTGTGGAGTGTCTACTGTGTATAGGCACCATGATAGATGCTTAGAGGAATATGGAATGTAAAAGAAATGGTCCTTATCTAAAAGGTAGTTGCAGAAGATATTTACCTGGGTAACTGGAATACCAGATAAAATAAGATTATTAAGCATGAGGTGGAGAGGAAGGCAGTTCTCTCTGCTTTAAGGAGGGATCAATTAGTTTCTTGTGTGGGAACAAAGACAAAGTGGGGTCCTAGTTATTGAACCTTTTGGGGCAGGGGCCTTTTCACTCAGGAGCTTATAAGCTGTTATAAGGTTGCCAGACATTCCTTCTTTCTTTCTTTTTTTTTTTCTTTCTCAAATAACTTCTGCCACTGCCTTGATTGTATATATGAGGTGAAGGAGTGAGGCTCAGAGAGGTTGTTGCTGGCCCAGGGGCACTCAGCAGCATGGGACAGAATAGAGAATGTGAATGTGTGGAGGAGAAGGCATTGAACTAGTGGCTGAGTTAATGAGCACATTTCCGCGAGGTCCCTTAGCCGCGGTAGCTTGTCTCCTGTGATAGTGAGTAGCTGTGTCCTGGAACTCCGGGACTATTAAAATGTGCTGCTTAAAACTAAAAAGGCTTATTATCCACGTATTGTTTCACTTTTGGAGTTGTGGATAAATAGGAAAGGTTTGCATGGAGCCAGGAATGCTCTCTGAGTTGGAAAAGGGAATCACCCGTGTATTATTTTAAGGTTATTTCCCTTGCAGCTTACTCTGTTGGTGTGAATTTTAAAAACAAACCGACAAAGCAGAATCACCAGCGGGCTCTCAGAGAGCTGGGTAGCAACGGAACGTGTGACCCCCTGGAAGCAGGCACGTTCTGGAGAGCTGCTCTCCAGCCTTTTCCGTTGCCAGCCATGTTGACTTGGCCACCGTTTCAGGACTGGGTCAGACTCTCCTAAGGAGGTTGTAAAATGCTTTTGTCCGTTCCTTTTTGTCCTGTAACAAAGGAGTTTTCCGTACACCCACAGAGCCTGTCTAGCGCTGGTGTCCCTGTTGCAGATTAAGCATTTAAATCAATGAGTCTTTTCTTAGTTTGATTTGCTAGGGGGTTTAATCTGTTTTGTGTAGTGCCTTGGAGCTTACAGATTTCCCCCCCCCTCCGTTCTAACTCACTAAGAGCAAGCAGGAGGGATAGGAGAGTGAACATGGCTGCAGTTTTTCCTGCTTAAGATTGCTTGGATCTTTTTAAATGACTGTACCAGGAGGATTTCGCAGTTGTACAGAGACGGATATTTCTTCAAAAATATTTATCAATTCTACACTCACCCCACCGGCTGGTTCAGAGAAGCACTATGATGCTACCTTATTGACACTGCTGGTCCTGGGATCCTACAGCCTTTGTATAGTTCCTTTGTTAGCCACGCTTACTGGGAAAAGAAGTAGGTCGACGATTTCTGGTTTGATTCTTTTCTTTGTAAGCATGCTTAAATTTTACTCAATAAATTGATTTAGTACCTCTTGATTGTTATTTTGGTAATTCGTAATTTGTTGATTGTAATATTGGCGCGTTTACGTTTAAGTTGTGAATGGTTCTGAATAGAATCAGATTTGTTCTGTGTTTTCTGTGTTTTCAGGCTTAATATAATTCAGTAGCATTGTCGAGGTGCTGAGTATATGAAATTACCTTATTACTAAAGACTATTTGGTCTCCTTTCTCCTTCAATAAGCTGTAGTTTTGTGTATGTAGCTCATACTTGTATGAGGATAGAACAATATTTTCCTAGAATTAAAATATCGCTTCTTTGATTATTCTGCTCATTATATTCAAATAAATTAAAGATGTGTAACTTTGAAAGATTACCTTAAAACATGAAAAAATCATTTTGAACTGATTTTTTTCCTATTTCTAATAATGACGGGTCATGTGAGAAAATAATCTTTTGATCACCGTTTTGATTCAGACTGAGTTAAGCATTTAAACCCCTTTCAAGAATGTGTTCTCGCTTTGCTGCTCATTTCTTTGTGATGTGATACTGTTAGTGGCATCATTTAAGAACTTTTGAGGTCCATAGTGCTGTTGTAAAATTAGCAGCTGGTTCTTGGTACTTTGGAATCCTATAGAAATAACATTATCGAGTTAAAAGACCAATGACTAAATTAAGAAATATAAGACAAGACATTTTTCTTGTTTGGAGGTTTTAGCAGGTTCTTTCTGTGTATTCTTGTATGCGTAGAAAATTTAGAAGTTAAGATAGTGATTTTCTTTTGGATATTAGCCTAAAACATTACATAGTAGCTTCTAGGTCAGATGTACGCATGTATAGAGTTTAAACATTCTTAAGTTCTCCTAGACTCCCCTAAAGTCCAATTTTTAAGATTATATAAAAATAGGTATTGTAGGTCTTGAATAGAGTTGAAGGTTTGAGGGCCATTGTGTATGTGTGAGAAGGAAGCCTTTAGTGAGTGTATAATTTTGCCCTCTTACCAAATGTGAAATCCAAGGCTTTCTTCTTCCCAGTTAGCCACACACACACACACACACACACAAATGTTTGTTTGTTTTTAGAGACAGATGGTGAAAGGGGAAATGCAGGAGGTGCACACCAACAGTGTTTGTACTCTTCTGGAATTTAGGAGAATCGGAGGGTAGCTACAGAAATGGAGTATTCTTTGCCTTTGCCTTCATGGCCAGCCCTGGCTCAGACGGAGTCACACATAGAAAAGGGCGTTCACCTCAGACTCATCCCAGTGTTCCTTCCAGCTCATGGGAAGGAGGATGATTTTCCACTCTCTCAGCCTCGGAATCCTCACCTGAAGAACGGGAGGGCAGTACTGTCACCCTAAAAATGCTTGTAGCAAAAATGTTTCTCACCACTTCGATTTCCTTCACTTCAATAAGATGGTGTCAAAGAGTCTGGAAGGTGGGTGTTCAGGTTGTTGAAGTGATCAGGCTGGTAGAAGGATTCCTCTTACTTACCTGCAGGCTGATGGCAAGTGAGTATTGTCTCACCTGCCTCCACTGGTCAGTTGGTCAGAAGTACCTAAAGTGGATCATTGAACGGTTTTCAGGCTGCTTCCAGGTTCAGAGGGAAAGTTTGTGTTTGACTAGTGATGTCTGCCATAGGTGAGGAAGGGGACGAGAGGCAGTGGACATACTCTAGCCCTGTATCATGTGCTTAATACTTACGCATATCCAAATAGATGACTAAATAAGAAAATACTGTTATCTAGACTGGCATTAATTTTGTTTTCATTTTTGCAATGGTTTTCTGGGATACAGAGAGACATTCTTGTTCGTACACTGTTGAATAACTCTGCTTTTGGAATTTGGAGTGTAGACTTCAGTAGCGACTTGACTTCAAGCCAGGTGGGCACATGATCTGGCACAGTGGGTAGCATTACAGACTGACAAAAATTCCAGAAATAAGCAGAATGTTGGCTCTGTGTGTGTACGTAACTCAATAAACAACAACAACAAATAACTGTTAGTCAGATGCCAGAATGTAGTATGAAATGTTAGTTTGCAAATACGTCTGAAACAATGAGAAGCCCTTCTGTAATAAGAAAATAATTTCTTCTGCCTGGGCTTCTCTGAGAATCTCTTCATATTCTCTTCAGACTCCATTATTTCTCTTACTCTCTTTCATTTGAGTCACACTTGGACCATGGGGAAATGAAACTAAGGATTCCAGAAAATCTGTTATTCTGACATAATCGAGGCTACTAGAACCAAGGATCACAACAGAACAGGGGCAGTTTTAAATTGTTATTACAGCTGCTGGGACCTGGGTGACCGCATGTGGGATATCACTTACTGACTCTTGAGATGAACTGTCGCTCAGGGATCGTGGCCCTTATAGACTGTGCTGAGGAGAATTTTGAGGATGTTGTAGCTTCAGTGGGTCTATAATAGGAAAGCCTACAGTTCTTCCCTCCTATATCAGGAAAAGCCAGTCCCTTCGTTCTGCATCTCCTTGACTTTCACACTGCTACCCCACTCACAAGACTTCGCTCTGGTCACCAGACGTGTGGCAGTTTCTACCCCAGCAAGCAATTCCTTGGGACACCAGCCGGGTGATCTTCAATCCTGACACCGTCTACTGGGGATGGCAGCAGATCCCACAGGTTAAGGGGTCACTCCTGCAGGACTGGCCCCCACGTCCTTCAGATGCCAGTCACAAGTCCAGGTTGTCAACTGTACTTTTCACAACGAGCCTTCAGTGGGCGATTCCAACAACTCCTCTCTTGGGAATGATGAATTTGCAAGAGCAGCGCACAAAACTGAAGTAAACGTTTACTTTACTTACTAATAAATGCCCGGTTCTTATAAAAGGGTTTAACCGAGGATATGGAGGACCATTAGATGGAACTGATGCATAGGGCAAGGTATGCAGGAAAGGTGAAGAGGGTCCATCCCCTCTGCAGGTGTGCGCCAACTCCGAAGCTCTCCCGTCTCCACAGTTGGAGATTTTTATGGAGGCTTCCATAAAAGGGCGTGATGGATCCTTAAGTTAATTTTTAGCCATTTTCCCTTCTCAAGAAAATGGAGGGTATAGTTGAAAATTCCAAGATTCTAACCATGGCTTGGTCTTTCCAGTGACCATCTCGCATCTGGGAACCCACCCAGAATCACCTTTTTAGAACAAAAGATACTCCTGTCACCAAAGAAATTAGGATTTCAGGAGATCTGTGTTAGGAACTGGGGGCAGAGACCCAATATATATTTTCTATATCTCACCATATTTGGTACCTGAGTACCATATTTGTTCAGTGAGGGCCCTGCGAAAGCATATGTACCATTTCCAAACTTGATTTTTCAAACCCCCTCATTATACATAGAGAGATGAAGGGGTTCATAGCTATGCAGTGGCCAAGTCAAGACCAGAACTCAGATCATAGATTCGGTTCCACAACTTGAAATTATGGTAGTTATTATATTGGAACTTTGGTCACCAAAGAGTTTCTCGTTTGGATATAATATCTCTGGATAATGGAAAATTTAGATACCATCAGGATACCCAATCAGCTGCCATGGTAGGGACTGAAATGAGCAGGATAAATAGTTTCAGGATATCCTGCCTTATAGAGAAGGACATCGTTCAAGTGGGCTTTACTAGGAAGCAACACACCAACAAAGAGTATTTAGGGAACTGAAAGATGTGTAACTGTTGGTCATAAAAGTGTGTACAGCTCAGCATAGATTGTCCCCACCATTGGTGAACTGGGAAGGAGTGGAGGTGGGAAATGTGTCAGTCGATCAGAGAGACAGAGAGAGAGAGAGAGAGAGAGAGTGTGTGTGTATGTGATCGCACCTGATCAAACTCAAAACTTTTATCCTTGTATATGGATTTGATCCTCCCATGTTACGAAGTTGATGATAGATCTGGGTCCAGTGTTTACACTGAGCCTAAAGAGTGGCAGTTGGTTTCCAGGACAACACCTCTAGTCTGGTGTGACAGAGAGCAAAGGGACAGGAGTATTGTGCCTCATGAGAATTTTGTCTTGTGCTTTAGTGAAAAATCCCTTTAGTCTGTTCTTTGGAAACTGAAGGTCTTTGTTTTTAAAGCTGAGAAATGAGAAGTACGAATGAATTTGCGATCATACGATTTTATATTAGGTCTATAAATTCAACTCAGTTCAACTTCTCAGAACCTGAATAGGTGACTTATTTGCTACTGATGAATTAAAAAAAAAAAAAAGTTTCAGGAAGGCTAAAATCCCGGTTGTTAGAATACATGGTTAAGACTTTAATAACATCATTGACTTCCTTTCGGAATTTTAATTTAGCAAGGGTGAAAATGCTAATTGAAACCCACTTTATATGAAAACCTAAAAGATACGCTCTACAAAATTTGGCTTCTGTTAAGACCGTGAAGTCCTTTCCCACCCATCCTTAAAAAGGTTATGTTGAATTTTATAGCAGTGGTGTCTTCAGTACTGTCATTTACATTAGCTCCCTGTAATTTTCACCTTCAGAAAGACCACGTCTTTGGGTTCTGGAGAAAGATAATTGGAAAGAAGCGTAGGAAATTGACAGAAACCTCTCAGTGGGAGTGAAGACTCTGTTGATCTGACCTCATACGGGAAATGTTATATGGGCACAGGAAGAATGAACAGATGGCTCATTGTAGAGTGCCTTGACATAGATCAGGGGAGCATAACAGCATGTCTTTACAGGTTTAACTGTAACATCTATAAACACTGTTCTAGGAGTTAGGATAGTATAACTGAGTGAAAAACTACTGTCTTTGAATTTAAAACATAGTTATAAATAAGAATCTCACCTTCTTCTAATGTGAGGTAAAGAAAGGAATCAGCATTGGTAATAAGGAAATTTATGATTATGCATTGAGTATTAGAATATAACTGGATGCTTAGAACTATGATTTGACCATCACTGGATTTTGTAAAAAATCCAGTCTGGGTTGGTGGCAGGGAAATTAATCTTGGGAACCAGGTAGTGAAGGAGCACACCTCATAGATTTCTCCTCTGGCTCAGTCTATGGTGATTTAAAAAAAAAAAAAAAATGCTCGTGGTTTATACAGTTAGCAAGGGGACATGGATAAAAAGATTAACTTTTATGGGGGAAAAAAAGGACCAGAAAACTTTCCAGGCATTTTTTTTTTTAAAGATTTCATTTATTTATTTGACAGAAAGAGCTCAAGCAGGGGGAGCACAGAGGGAGGAGAAGCAGGCTCCCCGCTGAGCAGGGAGCCTGCCATAGGGCTCTATCCAGGGGTCCAGGGATCATGACCTGAGCTGAAGGCAGCCACTTAACCAACTGAGGCACCCAGACACTTTTTTTCTTAGATATGGAGAGAAAAGGACTAAGTGCTGGGTTTATGCTCTTGAGTGTTGTATAACATGGTAATCTCTTAGGAAAAGTGAAACAGTAATGTTAAAAATCCTTAGGAGCTAAGCTTCTGGACAGTGTATTTTTTTCAAAGATGATTTAATTATAGAGAATGGTGAATTTAGAATGGTGTTTTAAGGAAATACTGATTTTTTTTTTTTTTTGGTCCCCTTAGGTATTGTTGCTGATTTTTGTTTGTTTGTTTGTTTTAATACCACTTAATGAGGTTTGAAACTGTTTGTTTTGATCTTTACATGCTGGTACTATTTTTCAAATCTTTACTCTGAGGTTTTTGACACTACTGAGATTTTATTTTATTTTTTATTATTTTTTATTTTTATTTTTATTTTTTTAATTTTATTTATTTATTTGACAGACAGAGATCACAAGTAGGCAGAGAGAGAGGCAGAGAGAGAGAGGAAGGGAAGCAGGCTCCCTGCTGAGCAGAGAGCCCGATGCGGGGCTCAATCCCAGGACTCTGGGATCATGACCTGAGCTGAAGGCAGAGGCTTTAACCCACTGAGCCACCCAGGCACCCCTTATTTTTTATTATTTTTTAAAGATTTTATTTATTTGAGAGAGAGAGTGAGAGAGAATGAGAGGAGAGAAGGTCAGAGGAAGAAGCAGACTCCCCATGGAGCTGGGAGCCCGATGTGGGGCTTGATCCCGGGACTCTGGGGTCATGACCTGAGCCGAAGGCAGTTGCTTAACCAATTGAGCCACCCAGGCAGCCCAACACTACTGAGATTTTAAACCGTAGATTCCCCCTGCCCGAAACACTGAAATAAATGATAGTAATGGTGTTACATTCCTAAAGTAGACACAAAGCTCACTTAATCATACCATAGCAGAAGAACACTATTGCCCAGGTTCTCATCATGGATCAAAAATAGATGAAAATATAACATGAAAATGCATTCTTATTTGGAGTTCGGAGTGTAGGAAACAAGCCCTGTTCCTTTCCTTGTCCTCTGCCCTTTTCCCTGCACCAAGTACAAATATAAATCTTAACCATTCTGTAGAAGATTTGGTTTCCCTTTATAATCCAATGAGAAGCCAGCCATAAAAGTCAAGAGAAATGCACAATTTTGAAAAAATCTGTATGAATATGGGCTACACAGTTGCCTCAAGCAACTGAAAGATACTTCGTTTTTATTTGTTTTGATACTTAGTTTTGTTGGTCATTACTGGGCAAAAGCAAAAATAAGAAGCAAGACATCTACTTCAGGTTTGCTGAAGGTTCAGGTTGCTCTGATTCTCCATGGTTTCAGACTGTGGTTCTGATAGGAAATTACAACCAGTTGTAAATGATCACTATTATTTTTTAAAGCTTGTTCTTTATTCTGAAGTCTCACTGTCCATCGATGTGTTAAGTTTGTCTTTTGAATCCTAATGAAGAACCAGAGGCAAAATCAGAGACGAGCAAAATGGCAGGAGTCTTCTCCAGGGTTCATGGGCCAATTACACCTTAAGTGTAGTATTTGTTCACTTAATTTTTCCCACTAACTTTTACCCTGACATGTTCCCTGGGAGATGGTGTAGGTCTACTTCTTTGGCAGTGCCCTTGGCCTAATTAACTGTAATGGACTCAGAATTTTAGAGCATAGCATAAGCAAAGTTGATGAGCACCATAGTTTCTCCAAAAGTTGTTGAGTTGTTCTTTTACCTGGAAACCACTTGTGTTTTCTTTTCTTTCCAAGAGGATTTCCATGTGAGTAGAGAGGAAAGATTGACGTGCCATGTCAAAGGTGGTTTTCATGATTTAAGTGGGATTTGCTTTTATGTTTCTGCTTTGGGACTTAGGCATCTCTGTTCCAGGGAGGATGATGGAGTTCTCCCAGCTGGAGCAGGGGAGGAGAGAACCAGATCTCAGCCTTGGAGCTACCAAGGCATTTGCACGTTCTTGTTCTCCTATTAGTAGCACAGCTGCCTGCCTGCATTTATTCTTACTAGATGATTGACACATTGGCCTTGTCCTTCTGGGGATCGATGCTCTTCGTAGCTGCACCTTGGGCAGGCTTATTACATGGCACGGATGGCCGTGGAATTTATCTTCCAACTTTTATTTGGGATGAAAGCTGAACTGGATGAAATATATCAACTTGGATTATGCCAGGATGTATGGTCATTTGTTTTTTGTGTGTGTGATTTTTGGGGGGGAAGGGAGTTTTGTTTTGTTTTTTTTTTTGTTTTCTGTTGTTTTGTTTTTTTGTATGGTCACTTTGGATGTAGCATTTCCCTTGTGTCCCTGAGGACAGGAGCTATAGACTATCCGTCTTCATATTTCCAAGGTGCAGGAACGGCTGGCACATTGGAGGTGCTTAGTGAGTACTTGTTGATTCGTGAAGGAAGGAATACGTGTGGACAACTGATGCTGTATTTCGCTGTAAAATGAGACGTGCTCTTTCTTATTACAGCTGGAAATGCCGCTGTCCTCAAGTATGAGGAAAAAACTCCCAAACCAGCATTTCAGAATGGTTCCTCAGGATCCTTATATTTGAAGCCTTTGGTATCCAGAGCTCATGCACACTTACTAAAAACTCCTCCAAAAGGTATGTTCCTCATTGCAGAGAAAAGCAGAAAGACAAGACTTTTTAAGTCCTTATCTTGTAGAAAGTTAAATTTTGGCAACTAGGTTCATAGCACATTGGACAGTTATTTACAAAGAGTCTGAAGAAAGACACATACTTCATTTTCACAGCAAAGGAGATTTTCTTAGAGACCGTAGGTTCTGTGGTTAAAACTTGATACCTATAAACACAGGTATAAAGTAAAAATAAATGAAACTATTCTTAGATAGTGAACTAAAACAATGAGATTGAAATCTATAATTTAATTCCCACCTTTGGTCCAAACTTTGTACTTTTTTCTGTTCTTTTTCTTTTCCTTCTTTGTACTACTCACTTAGTAATTACCATGGCTATGAAGAAGAACTTTCAGTTTACAAAATACGTGGTATATACTTAGTATGCAATGTTTTCATGCAGCTGTATCCCCAAATCTGAAGTGGATTTTAAGCACACTAGAAGTTGGATTCGTGCTTAGTGAATTGAAAGACTGCTTCACTGAAAGAATTATGAATGAGAAACTTGAAGCAGACTGTGTCACCCATGTGAGAGGTGGTGTTAGTTTTTTTAAGAGAAATAATTTTATTTACACTACTAGTAGATCTCGGCTACTGTAGTTACTCTGGGATATAACCATCTTATCGATAACAGGAAAAATATCTTCCAGTATTTCAGTTTTAACAGAGTGAAATTGCTTAGTTGTAGAGTAAGAAACAATTAATGATTTTGGCAGGCAGGGGGGAAATAAAAATTATGTATCTCCCTTACCCGATATCTAGGTTAAAATATATCTAATGAATTTTCTTGATTTCTATTAGTCCTAAAAATAAAGGAAAAATAGCTTGCAAATATATTCTTAATAGACAATTTCAATTAGAAAACAGTTTAATGAAAACAGTGCAGTGGTTTGTATGAGTGAACTGATAAGGAAGTAAGAGAAGTGTTCAGAACTGGGCAGATAACATGTCAAATACAAGTGAGGGATGTCTGCCAGGATGACACCATTTTCAAGCACTCGTTCGACTTTCACACAACTCCGTTTTACCTTACGTTCAAGGGAAATACAAAGTCAGTAGGTTATGCTCCTGAGTTGGAGTTAGGAACCCCTTTTTTTGGCTTGTAAGATTAGCCTTTTGATTTTTTTTTTTTTTTTGAAGATTTTATTTATCCATTTGTAGAGAGAATGAGAGAGCCCAGCAGGGGGAGCAGCAGGCAGAGGGAGAGGGAGAAGCAGGCTCTGCACTGAGCAGGGAGCCCGATGCAGGACTCTATCCCAGGACCCTGGCATCATGACCTGAGCCGAAGGCAGATGCCGCATTGATTGAGCCACCCAGGTGCCCCTAGCCTTTTGATCTGATAATTCCTCTACTTTTAACAATGACAGAATGTGGCAGTAGCCACAGTGGCACACACCCTCATGCCTGCATGTCAGGAAAAACACAGAACCAGACAGAGTTCTCCTTCATTCCATTAGCCGCGAGCAGCTGTTGTGTTTTCTCCACTTTTCTCAAGGCGTGGGGTGTACACACTGTTGTGTCTTGCTCTTTATTATGTGGTGACCACAAGAGTGGCTTCCTTTGCAAAGGCTGTGCTGTAGTCTGTCTTCCAGTTCCATAGTTCCTGGACTCTTTCTGACTTCTACCATGGCACATAATACCGAGGTGAGCGAACATTTTCGAGTGTGAACATTCATTGCTTCAGATCCCGATAACTTCTAATGGGGTGTCCTTGAAAGAGGAATCACCGGTTAAGCTGTATGAATCTTTTTGAAATTGTTAACATGTTACTCAGTACTTCTCCAAAAAGACGTTAGTCTCTCATGAAAGCGTGAGAGTGTCCGTTGCTGTTCCTCCTTCTCAACATTTGTGTGTATGTATGTAAAGAACCCTGTGGTAACTTGAGGTTAATCACCTAGTGAATATTGATCAACCCTTTCTCTTTCTACACTACTGAAGAGAAAAAAGGCATAAATATTGGCAAAAAGATTCTTCACTGTGCCAGCAGGTTCTTACCTGTCCATGGTCTTAAATAAGTTTCTAATGCATCCAATGACCCATTGAGCAATGACATCAGGATGTGAATCTGTTGGGGGGGTGTTGTTTTGTTTTGTTTTACAGATTTTATTTATTTATTTGGCACAGAGAGACTCACAGAGAGAGGGAACACAAGCAGGGGGAGCGGGAGAGGGAGAAGCAGGCTTCCCTCTGAGCAGGGAGCCTGATGCGGAGCTCGATCCCAGGACCCTGGGATCATGACCTGAGTGGAAGGCAGATGTTTAACGACTGAGCCACCCAGGCACCCTGAATCTGAGGTTTTTATTGATGATGATAAAGCCCCAGCATCTACACATCCACCAGTAACTGAAAAGGGATGTCAAACTCTGATACTAATTAACTTGCAGAGAATTGGAACCTCATGATTCCACTGATCACTTTATGGAACAGGGAATTCCAGTTTTCTAATACGTCTTGCTGTTGAATTTGCAAGCTTTTGTATCACAGAGTTTTTTTAAACTTTTTTCTTTATTTAAACTCAATTAATTGACATAGAATATATTATTAGTTTCTGAGGTAGACATCAGCAACTCATTAGTCTTAAATAATACCCTGTGCACATTATATCACAGGCCCTCTATAATGTCCATTACCCTGTTACCCCATCCCCCCAACTTCCTCCCCTCCAGCAACCCTCAGTTTCTTTCTTATGAATAAGAGTCTCTTATGGTTTGTTTCCCTCTCTGGTTTCATCTTGTTTCACTTTTTTCTCTCTTCCCGTATGGTCCTCTGACTTGTTTCTTAAATTTCTGTATCACAAAGGTTTTACTTGAGTGGGAATGAATGATTTTCATTTATAATGGCCACACATTTTTTTTCCATTTTATTTTATTTCTTGGCCACACATATTTTAAAAGGTTTTATTGATTGATTGATTTGATGGAGTGTGAGTAAGCTTCAGGAGGGGCTGAGGGAGAGACAGTCTCAAGCAGACTCGTGACCTTGGAGCTTGACACAGGGCTGGACCTCACAACTGTGAGATCATGACCTGAGCTGAAACCAAGAATCAGGCGCTTAACGAACTGAGCCACCCAGGGGCCCCTAATGGCCACATAATTTAAGACAATGTAGTCTTTGAGATTCTACAGATAGAATGTGGCAACCATTCTAACTAGTAATTTGCAGATGATGATGCTTTAGAATGACCATCTCTGGTCAAGTAGAAGCACTCCTAGTTTTCTTCTAGTGCCTTATCTTCGTAGCTCTGTACGTATTACCGCTACTTGTATTTCTCGTCACACTTATTAATGTATAACTGACAGTGTAGTATGTTTGGTGATTTGATACACATACACACCACAAAAGGAGCCCCTGGTTGTGTTTCATACTGTGTCAGTTTGGAGAAGAAGCTTCAGTATTTTTTCCTTCCTAGCTGAGTAGCAAGTGAATTGGATTTAATGCCTGGCAGTTTTACAAATCACAACTAGTGGTTGTCTTTCATAAATACCCTGCCTTTTTTGCTGCATCAGCAGTGGAATAGCATTAACTGTGTAATATGCATGTAAATTCAGTCCTGTTAACATTTGCACTCCAGCTGTTCTTTACTGAAAATATACTCTCATTTTCCTGTCCTAATTTGTGACCGTGAATTCATATCACCCTTAAACTCTCATCCTAATGTTATTTGGATTATCATTTTATACCTAGAATATACTTGTTAAAGTTGACTGTATTTCAGTGGTATTTCTTGTCTAGAACCTAAAATTTACATAATGGATTTTTTTTTGGAAAATACTCTTGTTTTGGGGCATCTGGGTGGCTCAGTCGGTTGGGCTTTTACCTTCCGCTCTGGTCATGATCCTGGGGTCCTGGGATCGAGCCCTGCGTCGGGCTCCCTGCTCGGCGGGAGGCCTGCTTCTCCTCCTCTCGCACTCCCTCTGCTTCTGTTCCCTCTCTCATTGTGTCTCTCTCTCTGTCAAATAAATAAATAAATAAATAAATAAATAAAATCTTAAAAAAAAAATACTCTTGTTTTGAAAATATTTTTAAATGGCTATATTTTGTGTGGTATTTTACTCAAAACGTGTTTTTTACAAATACTTCTTTTGTTTTTTAGGTCCCTCAAGAAAAAACCTATTTACCGCTTTTAATGTGGGTAAGTGACAACTTTAAATATGGAGGGAGAAAAAAGAATCTTTTTATAAAGTCATGCTATCATTGCAAGTACTTGAATATATTTACAGTGATTTTTTTTTTTTTTTTTTTACTGTTTTGTTTAAAACAGAATTTCAGGTTTGTGGCATAAACTTAACTGCTTATGACTTGGACCAGCATAGGTTAAAACTTGGTCAGCATGATTAACAAGCGATCCGACACAAAAGGACATTTTATTAACAACAGATAATTTTAGTTTTTTAAAATGATTTTTTTAAAATGTGATCTAAAGTGGAGAATATAATTTTTTCTCGATAAATGCTCTTTTAAAATTGTATAGTCTTCCATTGCTATATCTCAGCATTGGGTTTTAACACCTTTTAACAATTCAGCTTCACATTTTTCTGTTCCTTTTTACACTTCTACTGAGCAAACTTGCATCGGTCTTTAAAATCACTTCACACATTTGAAGCAAAACTGGGAATTTAAAAGTTTTGTCTCTTGAGAAGCCATAAAGATTCATGAATTGTATTACTACAGTCCTGTATTTGGTCTATAGTTGATCAGGTCCCCATATACTACTGCATTTTCTAATTTAATATTCATTTATAAGACAGTTATGTGGCTTCTAAATGCATTGAAGATTAGAACAGGAATTTAAAAGGGAGAAGGGTATTAGAGCACAATGACTACAGTTTATCGTGCTTGTGACCATGTTCAGTGCTAAGGATACAACAGCAAGCCAGAGATGAACAAGGGCCTTCTCTTCAGGAAGCTAGGCAGGAGGTGTAAGTTTGTGAGGCCCTGTATTTAGGAAGTAACAAAAATAGGGTTGATATATTAGTATAAGGAATAGGTAATACCCTTGATGTTGCCAAGCTGTGTCCAGTTTCTCAGGTTAATCAAACGTGTGAGGGAATTATATTATAATTGTTAACCTTTTGTGAGCTCGTAAAACTAGAGCTCTAAAACCATCCAGAGTAATTTAAATTCTAAATGTCCCCAATAGCCTGAGATTAAATATATTTTTACTAAATCTTCTCTAATTTAAAAAAACATAAAAAACTATTCTAGACCCATTGAGATTTTTATTTTCTTTTGTTTTAAATTCCTAGCAAAACTGGGTATTTCGGGGAAAAGAGAGCTAATATGCTGTAGAATGATTTTATGTTCTAGAAAATCAGATAACATTTAATAGGAAGCTAGATGGTATAACTCTGTTTAACTGAGAAACTTCCAGAATGTTTTCCAAAGTGCACCATTTTACATTTCCACCACAGTATATGAGGGGTCTAGTTCCTTCACATTCTTGGCAACACTTGCTTTCATCTTTCTTTATTATAGCCATTTTAGTGGGAATGAGATGGTATCTCGCAGTGGTTTTGATTTGCATTTCCCTGATGGCTAATGATGTTGAGAATCTTTTCATGTGTTTATTGGCCATTTGTAGGTCTCCTTTGGGGAAACATTTATTCAAATCTTTTGCCCATTTAAAAATTACTTGTATTGTTGAATGGTAGGAGTTCTTTATATATAACCTTAAGAACCAGATCCTTATCAGATCCTGATTTGTGAATATTTTCTCCCACTCTTTTCACTTTTTAATAGTGCCATTTGAAGCACTAATATTTCCAGTTTTGATGCAGTCCAGTTAATTGGTTTTTTTCTTTTGTCGCTTAAGCTTTTTTTTTTAAATTGTAGTATTGTTGACATACAATATTTAAGGTGTAGGATACAGTGAGCATTTATATATAGCAAAATGACCACAATAAGTCTAGTTACCATCTGTCACCACAGAAAATTATTAAGATATTATTGACTGTATTCCCAATGCTGTACTTAACATGCCTGTGATGTATTTATTTTCTAAGTGGAAGTTTCCACCTTTTAATCTCCTTCACCCATTTTCCCATCCCCCAACACCTTTTCCTCTGGCAGCCGCCGTTTTGTTCTTGTACAGTTGACCCCAGAACAACATGGGTCTGAACTGCATGGGTCCACTTATACATGCCCTTTTTTCAATAAATACAGTATAGTACTGTAAATGTGTTTTCTTTCCTTTTAATTTTCTTATTAACATTTTTTTTCTAGCTTACTCCATTGTAAGAATATAGTATATAATACATATAGCCCACAAAACATGTGTTACCATACTCTTTATGTTATCAGTAAGGCTTCTAGTCAACAGTAGCCTAATAGTTAAGTTTTAGTACAGATTTTCAGCTGAGTGGGAATGTCAGCACCCCTAACGCCTGGATTTCTCAAAGGTCAACTGAATTTATGAGTCTATTTCTTTTGTTTTTTAGATTCCACATATAAATGAAATCATATAGTATTCGTCTTTACTGTCCAACTTGTGTCTCTTAGTGTAATACTTTCTAGGTGCATCTATGTTCCTACAAATGGCAAAATCTTACTCATTTTTATGGCTAAGTAATATTTCATTGTGTATCTATACCACATACTCTGTCCATTCATTTATCGATGGACATGTAGTTTACTTCCAATTGGTTATTACAAATAATGCTGCACGGAGTATAAGGGTGCACATATCTATTCAAGTTAGTGTTTTCATGTTCTTCAGATAAATATCCAAAAGTGGAATTGCTAGATTGTATGGTATTTCTATTTTTTATTTGTTGATGAACTACCATATTGCTTTCCATAGTGGCCGCACGAGTGAATGTTCCCACCTATGGTGCATGAAGGTTTTCTTTTCCTCATATCCTCACCCACATTTGCTATTTCTTGTCTTTTCAATAGTAGCCATTCTGATGGGTGGGGGATAATATCTTACAGAGGTTATGACTTGCATTTCCCTGATGATTAGTAATGTTGAACATCTTTCCATGTATCTGTTGTCCATCTATTATATGTCTTTGGAAAAACGTCTATTCAGTTCCTCTGCCCATTTTTAATTGGACTCTTGGTTTGTTTTTGTTTCATTTTTGGTGTTGAGTTGTGTTAGGTTCTTCATATATTTTGGATATTAACTCCTTATTGGATATATCATTTGCAAATATCTTCTCCCATTCAGTGGGTTGCCTTCTCATTTTTTAATGGTTTCCCTTGTGCAAAAGCTTTTTAGTTTGATACAGTTCTAATTGTTTATTTTTTTTATTGCCCTTTGCTGAGGAGACAGATGCAAAAAAAAAATATTGATAAGACTATGTTTCTTAGTTTTATTTTTTCAGGTCTTACGTTTAGGTCTTCAAACCATTTTGAGTTGACTCCTGGTAATGTTTTGAATAAAGGTAATGACCATGTGCATCCTTGTCTTAGTCCTGCTCTTAGAGGAAAAGCTTTCAGCTTTTTCCTGTTGAGTATGATGTAAGCTATAGGTTTGTTATATATGGCCTGTATTATGCTGAGGTATATTCCCCGTGTACCCATTTTCTTGAGAGTTTTCATCATAAATGGATGTTAAATTTTGTCAGATGCTTTTTCTACATCTATTGAGATAATCATTAGATATTTAGCCTTCATTTTGTTAAGGTGGTTTATCATGTTGATTGATTTATGGATGTTGAACCACCGTTGCGTATCTGGAATAAATCTTACTTGGTCATGGTGTATGATCCTTTTATTGTAGTGTTGAATTTGGTTTTCTAACGTACTGTTGAGGATTTTTGCATCAATCTTCACCAGGAATGTTGGCCTGTGATTTTTTTTTTTAATTTTTTTTTTATAAACATATAATGTATTTTTATCCCCAGGGGTACAGGTCTGTGAATCGCCAGGTTTACACACTTCACAGCACTCACCATAGCACATACCCTCCCCAATGTCCATAACCCCACCCCCCTCTCTCGACCCCCCCTCCCCCCAGCAACCCTCAGTTTGTTTTGTGAGATTGAGTCACTTATGGTTTGTCTCCCTCCCAATCCCACCTTGTTTCATTTATTCTTTTCCTACCCCCCAAACCCCCCATGTTGCATCTCCCCTTCCTCATTATCAGGGAGATCATATGATAGTTGTCTTTCTCCGATTGACGTATTTCGCTGAGCATAATACCCTCTAGTTCCATCCACATCATCACAAATGGCAAAATTTCATTTCTTTTGATGGCTGCATAGTATTCCATTGTATATATATACCACCTCTTCTTTATCCATTCATCTGTTGATGGACATCTAGGTTCTTTCCATAGTTTGGCTATTGTGGACATTGCTGCTATAAACATTCGGGTGCACGTGCCCCCTTCCTGCCCTTCTTGATGTTACTTTTCTTTTGTGTCTTTGTGGAAGAGCTGTTCTGCTAGTCTTGAGGGCATTCTCAGAGCGTTGTCTATTTGTAGTTGAAGCCTTGGTGTGTCTGGGGGAGGAGGTAAGCTTAGGATTCTCCCACTCAGCCACCTTGATCCTCTCTCTGGTTCTAATGCTCTGTAGAAGCCGTTGATTGATGCAAAGTCATGAAGCTTTATGCTCTATTATCTTATAAGATTTTTAGACTTTAAGCTCTTAGGCTTAGGCCTGTGATCCATTTTAAGTTAATTTTTGTAACTGAAATAGAGGGTCCAGCTTCATTGTTTTACATGTAGCTATTCAGTTGTCCCAGAACCGTTTGTTGAAAACACTAATCTTTCCATATTGAAATTGTCTTGGCACCTTTGTTATAAATAGTTGCCTATAAATGTGAGAATTTATTTCTGGACTCTCAAATCTATTCCATGGATCTATGTGTCTCTCTTTGCTAATACCACACTGTTGCTTACTGTGGTATATAATAAGCTTTGACATCAGGTAGTGTGAATTATTCTAACTTGTTCTTTTTCAAGATTCTTATGGATATTCTGGGTTCCTGGAATTTCTGCATGAGCTTTTGGGTCAGTGTCTATTTCTGCAAAAAATCAGCTGTGATTTTAATAGAGATTGCATTGAATATATAGATGAATTTGTGGAGTATTGTTATTTTTACAATATCAGGTATTTTGATCTATGATTATGGGAGATCTTCCCTTTTAGTTAGATCTTCTTTTTTTTCCATCAATAATTTTGTAGT